TGTGGGTTGGCTCATGACCAGTATACCCAGGGCATAGCATGGATCGCACAGTGGAGCGATAAATCAATCCACCGCGGGCATGAAACTCACAATTTGGCATTACAATGGGAACACAGGAAATGATTGTATATTAGTCCATCTAGTTCTGACCTGCCTCCTGTTCGTTAACAGCAGCTCTCCAAGAGCTCACATGGGGAATTTCCCCAGGTTTCCTTGAAGATGGTAGGAACTGAATGTGGCCTCCCCTTGGCAACGTCCTTGCAGACGGCCAATTCTCTCACACCAGAAGAGACTTTCAGTTTCTCAAGTCATTCCTGACATGGGGGAAAATTAAACACACACACCAGGACACCGCACTTGGAGGACAATCTTACCCAGACAACAATCGCCTAAGTAAGGAAGTAAGTAAGTAGTTATCCTCTGGATGTTTGGGCTAAAATCCCCATTTGCATGAAGAAGAAACAGCGGAGAGATGATTTGATAGCCATTTTCAAATGTCTGAATGGATGTCGTGTAGAAGACGAAGCCGGCTGTGTATGCCATGCAGCTGTGGATAAGTCTACATAGGGCACCACCAAACGCAGCACTGCCCAAACACAAATCAAGGAACTCGAAAGGCACTGCAGACTCACTGAACCAGAGAAGTCAGCCATAGCAGAGCACCTAATGAACCAACCTGGACACATCATGTTATTGGAGAATACAGACTAGCTGGACCATGCTAACAACCACCATGCCAGGCTACACAGAGAAGCCATTGAAACCCATAAGCATGACAATATCAACAGAGAGGAGCAAACCATGAAAATGAACAAAATCTGGCTCCCAGTATTACAAAAAACCTATAGAATGAGGGCAGTAAATAAAGAACAACACTCAAAAATCAGAGAAATTCCAGACAGGGATCAATCAAGGCCAGCTAACACCTCCCAACAAAGGAATCTCCCAGGCAACAACCAGCTAGGCCTTAAAGCTGCAAGGCTCTGCAATTCTAATCAAGGTGATTAATTGCAACATTCACACTTGCCTCCAACAGACAAGAGTTCTTTCTCCCAACCTGGACATTCCACAGATATATAAACCTCACTTTCCTAGTTTCCAACAGACCTCACAACCTCTTATTGTTTGTCTGGAATTCCCATTTTTTAATTGTTGTTCTTCATTTACTGTTTTGATTTTAGAGTTTTTTTTAATACTGGTAGCCAGATTTTATTCATTTTTATGGTTTCCTCCCCTCTGTTGAAATTGTCCACATGCTTGTGGATTTCAAGCAGCCAGGCTTTGAAACTGCAAGGCTGTTCAATGCTAATCAAGGTGATTAATAGCAACATTCACACTTGCCTCCAACAGACAAGAGTTGTTTCTCCCACCCTGGATATTATTCCACAGATATATAAAACCCACTCACTACCTCTGAGGATGTCTGCCATAGATGCAGGCAAAATGTCAGGAGAGAATGCTACTGGAACAGAGCCATACAGTCGGAAAACTCACAACAACCTGGTTTGTTTTCTGCTGCTCTAGAGACTACAAGGAAAAAAAATGCCACCTAAACATTAGGAAGATCTTCTTTACTATATGAGCTATTCAATAGTGGAGCTTATGAGGGTGGTGGACTCTCCATCTCACTATGTAACACAATATGAAAAAAAAATGTATTCCTGGTTTGAAAATGTTATTTTCTGATTGTGTGGTACGTACTTTGAAAGTAGTTGTTATACTCCAGAAACATCATTCTTTTGGCACAAGCTATGTTGAATTGGTTAAGACTCGAGGAGATAGTCAAGCAAAATATGCTGCTATGGGATGTCCCACAAAAACTAAAGTTTTGGCAGTTTAATAAACTTATGTCTTTATGATACAACCAATTAGGAAATAACATTTATAACCCAGGAACAAAATTCGTGTTACATAGTGAGGTCATGGATCAGTTTGGATGGGCATCTTTCCAGAGTCCTTGCATGGCAGAGTTGGACTACAAGGCCCTTGTAGTCCTTTCAAATGCTAAGGATTTGCAATCCTATATTTTCCAAAATCTCCATGGAGTCTAGAACATCGACATCACTTTGCACACCTCAAATCCCCACAATTTTTTACACTCTGTATTAATCCTAGCTATCAATTCCCATCCATTATGGGCAGCGGGTTAAACTGCTGAGCTGCTGAACTTGCTTTTTTTTAGTCGTGTCAGGAGCGACTCAAGAAACTGCAAGTTGCTTCTGGTGTGAGAGAATTTACCATCTTCAAGGACGTTGCCCAGGGGATGCCCGGATGTTTTGATGTGTTACCATCCTTGTGGGAGGCTTCTCTCATGTTCCTGCATGAGGAGCTGGAGCTGACAGAGGGAGCTCATTTGCGCTCTCTCCGGATTCAAACCCGCGACCTGTCGGTCTTCAGTCCTGCCGGCACAGGGGTTTAACCCACTGCGCCACCGGGGACTCCTGCTGAACTTGCTGACCAAATGGTTGGCGGTTCGAATTTGGGGAGCAGGGTGAGCTCCCACTGTTAGCCTCAGCTTCTACAAACCTAACGGTTTGAAAATTTGCAAATGTGAGTAGATCAAAAGGTACTGCCTTTGCAGAAAGGTAACAGTGCTCCATGCAGTCATGCTGGCCACATGACCTAAGAGGGTGTCTACGAACAACGTTGGCTCTTCAGCTTAGAAATGGAGATGAGCATCACCTCCCAGAGTCGGACAAGACTAGACTTAATGTCAAGGGAAACCTTTACCTTTTTTTGCTAATTGGGATTTGGATTTACAATTAACATTTCCAAGAACAGCCAAAGGGGCTTCTATTTAATTTGATTGCCAGGACAAAAGGGTATGTATATTTTCCTTTCTGAAAAAAGAAATCCTTTAAACTCAGCCAAATAATCTGGAAAATTCACATAGACACACATCTCTCTCCTTGTACTGGAATTTACAATCCAGATTTTCCATTATTTTAACTCACTACTCACAGCTATTTATATTCTCGAAAGGAAAGGAAGTGTCAGGATTCAGTTCTGGCTATGGAGAAATCATAGAAGCATTGCACCTAAAAGCTATCTAGTCCAGCTCCTACCAGTAAAGGAATCCATGGTTAAAGCATTTTTAAAACCTGACCCAATACAATATAAACAGGTGCAAAGTTTTCGTAAATGCCCAGCGGCAAAGTGGGAAAGAAGCACTCTGCATATGCTCAGAGGCACACCAATAAATGATTCTGACCAATTTCTTTTGCAAAGAAAGTAACTTATTCTACTTATTAACAAATTAAATACTCCCATGGCAATGTGAGTGAGGGCTCATTCTGTGTGTGGTCAAGAGCACACTAGTTCTCAATGATCCTGAGACTTCCTGGCAGAGAAAGCAGCTCATTAAATGCACGGGGGAAAGCACTCTGCATATGCTCAGGAACACACTGATTTATCAATGACCCTTAGAGTTGCTAACAGGAAAAGCAATTCTATCAGTTAACATCCTGAGTCTTGAGTCCCTCCTTGGGGGTAGAGAAGTGATGGGGTAGAAATACCAGAAATAAATAAATTAACAAATGAAATGCTCAAAAGCAAGATGGGAAAAAACACTCTGTATATGCTCAGGGGCATGTAGATTATTATAAATGATCCTGAGAGTTCCTGGCAGGAAAAGTACAGAACTCAATTAGTTAACAAATTAAATGGCAAAGTGGGGGAAAGCACTCTGTGTATGCTCAGGAGAAGACAAATACCCAATTGTGAGGTGGGAGAAAAGCACTCAGCGTATGCTCAGAAGAGAAATTGGATACCCAATTGTGAGGTGGGGAAAGCACTCTGTGTATTCTCAGAAGACAAATGAAATATCCAATTGTGAGGTGGGGGAAATGTACTTTGTGTATGCTCAGGAGAAGACAAATTAAACACCCAATTGTGAGGTAGCGTAAAAGCACTCTGTGTATGCCCAAGAGAAGGACAAATAAAATACCCAATTGCAAGGTAGGGGGAAAGCACTCTGTGTATGCTCAGGAGAAGACAAACTGAATACCCAATTGTGAGGTGGGGGAAAAGCACTCTGTGTATGCTCAGGAGACAAACTGAATACCCAATTGTGAGGTGGGGGGAAAGCACTCTGTGTATACTCAGGAGAAGGGCAAATAAAATATCCAATTTCGAGGTGGGGAAAGCACTCTGCATATGCTCAGGAGCACACTGATTTATCAATCATCCTGAGAATTCCTGGCAGAAAAATAAATTAAATGGTAAAGTGGGGGGAAAGCACTCTGTGTATGCTCAGGAGCACAACGATTATCAATCATCCTAGGAGTCCCTGGCAGAGAAAGCATTTCACTCCATCTGTTAACAAATGTCTAATGAGAAGACAGGGGGGAAAGCACTCTTTGCATGCTCAGGAGCACACTAATTATCAATCATTCCTTAATAGAGAAAGCAATTCACTCCATCTGTTAACAAATGCCCAATAGCAAGGAAGGGGGGAAAACACTCTGTGTATGCTCAGGAGCACACTGATTTATCAATCATCCTGAGAGTTCCTGGCAGGAAAAGTAATCCCAAAAGAAATGGCAAAGTGGGGGAAAGTACTCTGTGTATGCTCAGGAGCACACTGGTTAACAATCATCCTGAAAGGCCCTGGCAGAGAAAGCAATTCACTCCATCTGTTAACAAATGTCCAATGGCAAGATAGGGAAGAAAGAACTTTGTGCATGCTCAGGAGTACACTGATTATTAAAACCCGACAAAGAAAGCCATTCACTCCATCTGTTAATAAATGCCCAATGGCAAGGTTGGGGGGGGGGGGAGCACTCTGCGTATGCTCAGGAGCACACCGATTCCATCAATGACCCAAGGAGTTCCTTCCTGGCCGAGAAGGCAACTCATTTTGCTAAGGAATGAACCCTGGCTTTCCAGGCGAGCCCCTTCTCTCCTCCCCTGCTGAGAGGGGACGGTGTGTCTGCCTCTCCCAGGCAAGCTTGGGGGGCTCCTGGACCCCCACCTTGGCCTCCCTCTCGCTTTTGGCTCACCTGCGGCTCCGGAGCAGGATCTGCGAAGGCTTTCTTTCGAGGAGGGTCGGRACTATCTTTCATCTCTGGCGGGGAAGGTTTTTGAATGCCAGGGAGGGAGGGGGGCGGACCCTCGGGTGCGTCAATCTGGGTTGAGCCCCAGCTGATGTCACACGGAGCTCCCTTCAGCCAGGCAAATTTGGGACAAGCAAGCATTTCTCCCCCTCTCTCCCCCCTCCCCCTTGAAAGAAAAACCCAAAACAAACCCATCGCGCCTTTGACTTATTTTGCAACCAACTTGATTTCTCTGTCTTGATTTTTTTTCTTTTCTTCACATTCACTTCCCCCTTCTCTTTGAAACAAGAAGCAACTTATTGTCGAAGGCTTTCATGGCCGGAATCACTGGGTTGTTGTGAGTTTTCCGGGCCGTTTGGCCATATTCCAGAAGCATTCTCTCCTGACGTTTCACCCACATCTATGGCAGAGGTGGTGAGGTCTGTTGGAAACGGAAAAATGGGATTTATTTATCTGTAGACTGTCCAGAACTCTTGTCTGTTTGAGGTAAGTATGAATGTTTCAATTGGCCACTTTGATTAACATTTAATAGCCTAGCCCTTTCAAGATCTAGCTTCTTACTGGGGAATCCTTTGTTGGGAGGTGGGAGGGGTCTGTTGGAAACTAAGCTTTGAAGCTGCAAGGCCATTTAATGCTATTCAAGGTGGCCAACTGCAACATTCACACTTGCCTCAAACAGACAAGAGTTCTTTCTCCCACCTTTACTTAATAAATCCATCATTGTCTGAGTAAGATTGTCCTCCAAGTGCAGTGTCCTAGTGGTGGATACGTAGGTGACTGTGGTGCCCTATTCTTGACCTGCATGTTCTCCCGTAGTGACAGCATCAGTTTACAGGTGGAAGGCAGTCCCAGTTAGGGTTGGCTTGATACACCTTCCTCTTGACTTGTTTCTTCCTTTCACTCTCCATTCATGCCTCTTCAAATTCCACAGCACTGCTGGTCACAGCTGACCTCCAGCTAGAGTCCTCAAGGGCCAGAGCTTCCAAATTCTTGGTGTCTATGCACAGTTTTTAAGGTTGGATTTGAGCTCATCTTTAAATCTCTTTTCTGTCTTCCAACATTCTGTTTTCCCTTCTTGAGTTAGGAATAAAGTAACTGCTTTGGGAGACACTGATTGGGAATTCAGACAACATGGCCAGTCCAGCAAAGTTGATGATGTACTTACTTACTTAAGCAACCCCTCATTGGCCAAGTAGGATAGTCTTCCAGGATCAGTATTCTTGTGGGTGACTGTGGAGCCCTATTCTTGCTCTGCATCTTCTTCCGCAGTGAGGGCATTGGTTTCCAGGTAGAAGGCGGTCTCGGTCGGGGTTGGCTTGACGCGCCTTCCTCTTGTCACGTTTCTCTCTTTCACCCTCCATTCGTGCCTCTTCAAATTCTGCAGCACTGCTGGTCACAGCTGACCTCCAGCTGGAGCGCTCAAGGGCCAGGGCTTCCCAGTTCTCAGTGTCTATGCCAGAGTTTTTAAGGTTGGCTTTGAGCCCATCTTAAATCTCTTTTCCTGCCCACCAACATTCCGTTTTCCATTCTTGAGTTTGGAGTAGAGCAACTGCTTTGGGAGACGGTGGTCGGGCATCCGGACAACGTGGCCAGTCCAGGAGTTGATGGCGGAGGACCATCGCTTCAATGCTGGTGGTCTTTGCTTCTTCCAGCACGCTGACATTTGTCTGCTTGTCTTCCCAAGAGATTTGCAGGATTTTCAGGAGGCAGCGCTGATGGAATCGTTCCAGGAGTTGCATGTGACGTCTGTAGACAGTCCACGTTTCACAGGCATATAACAGGTTGGGAGGACAATAGCTTTATAAACAAGCACCTTGGTATCCCTACAGATGTCCCGGTCCTCAAGCACTCTGTGCTTCGTTCGGAAAAAACTCGCAGAGCTCAGGCAGTGTTGTACTTCGGTGTCAATGTTGACTTTTGTGGAGAGGTGGCTGCCAAGGGAGCGGAAAGCGTCAACATTTTCTAATGTTACACCACTAAGCTGTATCTCTGGCATTGGAGAGGGATTGTTTTTTAAGTACCTATGAGGACACCTCTGCTGGAAACTGACCATAGAATCACATTGGATGATGTTTCACCTGCATCTATGGCAGGCATCCTCTGTTGGAAACTAGCCAAGTGAGGTTTATATATTTGTGGAATGTCCAGGGTGGTAGAAAGAACTCTTGTGTGCTTGAGGCAAGTGTGAATGTTGCAATTGGCTATCTTGATTAACAGTGAATGGCCTTGCAGCTTCAAATCCTGTTTGGATGCTGCCTGAGGGGATCCTTTCTTAAGTGGCTGAGGAGGAAAAGGAAAGGGCCTGAGGCTGTTAGCAATTGTGGAAGTTGAAGTCCAAAACACCCAGAGGACCAAAGTTTGCCCACACCTTGTCCAGCTGGCCAGAGGCGAAGTAGATTAAACGTCCTTTATCGTATCAATGTAACTGAGAAGGAATAATCTCATCATTTCATCTTGTTTTTGGAACCCTTTAGCTAAGATTTCGGTCTTAATTTCCAAACAGGAAAATAATGTGTGTATTTGAATTACAAAAATAAGCTTTGAAGCTGCAAGGACAATAAATGCTAATCAAGGTGGCATATCATTTGAGAACACAGACATGCTGGACCACCCTAACAACACCATTTCAGACGGCACAGAGAAACTATTGAAATCCACAAGCATGTGGACAATTTCAACAGAAAGGAGGAAACCACGAAAATGAACAAAATCTGGTAACCAGTAATTAAAAGAAACTCTAAAATCATAATAGTAAATAAAGAGGAAAACTCAAAAACTGGAATTCCAGACAACAAACAATCAGGGCCAGCTAATCGCCTCCCAACAAAGGGTTCCCCCAGACAGGAAGCAGCCAGGTCTTGAAACTGCAAGGCCATTAAATGCCAATCAAGGTGGCATATCATTTGAAAACACAGAAATGTTGGACTATTCTTAACAGCCACCATTTCAGATGACAGAGAAGCTATTGAAATCCACAAGCATGTGGACAAATTCAACAGAAAGGAGGAAACCACGAAAATGAGCAAAATCTGGTTACCAGTATTTTAAAAAATCCTTTAAAATCATAACAGTAAATAAAGAGGAATACTCAAAAATGGGAATTCCAGGCAAGAAACAATCAGGGCCAGCTAATCACCTCCCAACAAAGGATTCCCCCAGACAGGAAGCAGCTAGGCCTTGAAACTGCAAGGCTATTAAATGCCAATCAAGGTGGCTAACTGCAAAATTCACACTTGCCTCAAGCAGACAAGAGTTCTTTCTCCCACCCTGGACATTCCACAGATCTATAAATACTATCAACACATAAAAAAAAAACAGTTTAAAACACAGACTATCTGTAGTTAATAGGGCTGGGCGGTTTCGTTTCGTTAATTCGTAATTCGTTAATAATTCGTTAATTTTTTCAATTACAAAACGATAACGAACCATTCTGGAGCAATTATTAAAAAAAACGAATTTTCAAAAACGTTTTGTAAATGCTTCGTATTTCAATATTGTATTCGTTTCGTTATTGTTTTGAGGTCGTTTCGTTATTATTTCCGCATGTCTGGGCCAGTTTTATGGTTTAATTAGTGAAAAAAAATTATAATATCACACCAACAGTCAACAACAGAGGGAGAGGGAAGCTTCAGAAGGTTTTGGAGGTTTTTTAGCGTATTTCGCGGTCGCGTCCGCCATTAACGAATCGATTCGTTATTGTTTCGGAAATCGATTCGTTAATTTTTTTACCATTTACGAAATTTCGTAAATATCAAACTTTTTAAAAGGAAAATTTTGTAATTATTTTAAATATCGAAACAAAAAAACCCCCCAAATACAAATCGATTTTAGAAACAAATTTTTCCGTTGTTACCCAGGCCTAGTAGTTAAAACTAGGGACCAAGTATGTGGACCAATGGATCATTTCCCAGTTGGCCTTTCTGACTGTTTCCTCGAATCTACGTTTGCTCAGAAGGAAGCACCGAAAGTATGTGTGAGTGGAAATTCCAACACTGTACAGAAAAAGCTCTTGAGAGTTTCCAAACATAAACCTTGCTCAAGTTTTGGGAAAGGACTTTTTATCAAAAGTAAGAGGATTATTCCTTCTGGCCAGAGATTTGTCTGTTGCAACAAAGGCCGGACTTTGGAAGTAAGTTGCAAGTAGGGAAATCCATCTCTGGGATATGTATGTGGTGGAAGAACAATAGGTTTATACTCTGGTATCATTGGATATAGGGAAATGATGGACACCGGGAACTAAAAATGTGAGCCACTATACTTGTGTAAATGTGTTGAAATACAATCATCCTCGACATTTACAGTTTGGACTTTTGCGGATTAGATAATTTTATTTTTCTGTGTCCTCCAATCCAATTCTATGGCTAGCTTCCAGAGTCATGCTGGGGGCAACGGTTAGCACAGTGGATGAAACCGTCAGCTACAGAAAATCTTGCTGACCAGAAGGTTGGCAGTTAAAAGCTGCATGAGCTCCCGCCGGCAGCCCTAGCTTCTGCTTACCTATCAGTTCAAAAACAGCAATGTGAATAGATAAATAAGTACCGCTTTGGTGGGGAGGTAAAAGACACCCCTGAAGTCATGCTGGCAATTTGAGCAGGAAGGCATCCACGAACAACAGGCTCTTAGGCATGGAAAATGAAACAACAGCACCTCCCAATGGCCGAGTTGAGCACAGCCTCCATATGCCAGAGATTAAACAAAAAGGTAAGCCTTGCTTCTGTCTATGTATTGCCCGTCTTTGTTAATTGTATAACGGCACTGAATGTTTGCCATATATGTATTCTGAGTCTCCTTGGGGAGATAGAGCAGAATATAAATAAAGTATATTTTATGTATATATATCTTGTAAGCAACTCTGAGTCCCCTTCAGGGTGAGAAGGGCAGTATATAAATGTCATAAATAAATAAAATAAATAATAAATATTATTTTGCTGGAAGACCTACGAATTCTTAAAGAGATATTCTCTCTGATAAAAAAATTGAACTTTTTATTTGTTCATTTGTTTTGTTTGTTTATATTATTCA